AAAATTGTCCACAAACTACCTTTTAAATCAATTGATCTGTATAATTTGACAGTTAAATCAATGTTACTGGTCATTATGTATACATAATTAAATATCTTATATTTGCCAATTAATTTTTTTAGTCTTTATTCTTTTCCGGTTACCTGACAACCATATAAGGACATTGCTTGATTACGCTAATACATCAAACATTTACATCACCAAAGGCCTAATTACCTTTCTTATCATACATATTTAAAAATCTACCAATTATAAAATGGATTTCCTCTAATGAGTTTTATGCCATATAGTTACAAAGAAACGTCAATACAGGGCTTAAAACCTACTGTGTTACTTTAAACAATGGGCGTGTCACGGTGGTCAGCGTGGAAGCATCTGTTGGTCAGTTAAGATGATGACGAAACACAAAAGCGTAGTCTAGATCTGTCTCAATACAGACCTTCCTCGTAACTTTACTCACATAGACCTTTTCCCGTAACAGGATTTCGAAAAATGGAGTAATTTCATGTTCACAGCTGACCGTTATAGCCGGATATCTTACGGTCTGTAGCTGAAGCATGTCGCTGAATTAGAACAAAAGGATTGTCTGTATGCTGGGAAATATAGTTCCTGTCAGAACCTGGACATCACTGGCCTATCAGTATCATGAAACAATAGCATTGAAGGAGGAATGGACAAGAAAGTACTATACACATGTAAGAAAACATGGGATGTTTATTTTTACTTTAACGTAATAGCAGTAATAGCACAATGATATGTGGACGATGAAGCTTTATATACATAATAACTTGTTCGGTTCCATATTTTATCTGTAATTTGCATCAAACATTTTTATTTTTGGTTTTTTTTTTTTTTGTTTTTTTTTTGTTTTTTGTTTTTTGTTTTTCGGTTTTTTTTATTTATTTATTCTTTTTAATACATATATAAATATAAGAGATAAATACTAAGTTTTATAAAGTATAGGCTTTACTTAAAAGACAAACTAATTTCTGTTTTGTTTCTGAAAATATTTTCTCACTTGTTTTGTGTTTATCGAAGCAGTAACTGCATGTTTTCTCTAAATGTTACATTGTGTGTATAGCCCTTCAACATCAGTTTCAACTGTCTACAAAGAATTCGAGTCTACATAAGTGATCTTTATTCAACATCAAAAACTCAAATATAAACCAATTAACTTGTGAACAAACATGAATAACATTTATTGAAAACATAGATACTTCATTATTTCACCTCAATAAGAAAACATCGGTATTCTTGTCTTGTCGACAGAATGGGGCCGCTTGATATCGTCTCTGTTTTAATTGGTCAGTTACTGGTCCTTACACAGCCAGTGACTGCTCCCCATGGTAAGTATTATTGATATATTTAACTATTAATTTGCTTTCAGTTAATATTCATGGGCATATGAATGCCAACAAGATAAGAGAAAATTCAAAGAATCGCTTTATGATAAATTGCATTCATCCAGTTGGCACTGATAGCCAATGTGTATCATCTGAAAGCAGTTTTATTCTTATATCAACCGTTTTCAATTCTCATTCTATCATAATGGAAGACAATCTCAACTTGCTTGAATTACTTACAATATTCATGTCCTGTTGGCAGTTCATGGGCTGGTAATTAAATGCCCACGTGTATTGGTTAAATAGAAAAATTAAATCATATGTAAACAAAATGTGACTTATGTTAAGTTAAATACAATAAATGCAATATGTGCGCCCATGTAAGGTACTGACCAGTCTATGTAAGGTACTGACCAGTCTATGTTAGGTACTGACCAGTCTATGTTAGGTACTGACAAGTGTATATAAGGTATTGACAAGTGTATATAAGGTACTGACAAGTGTATATAAGGTATTGACAAGTCTATATAAGGTACTGACAAGTCTATGTAAGGTACTGACAAGTGTATATAAGGTACTGACAAGTGTATATAAGGTATTGACAAGTCTATGTAAGGTACTAACAAGTGTATGTAAGGTATTGACAAGCCTATGTAAGGTACTGACAAGTGTATATAAGGTATTGACAAGTCTATGTAAGGTACTAACAAGTGTATGTAAGGTATTGACAAGCCTATGTAAGGTACTGACAAGTGTATGTAAGGTACTGACAAGTCTATGTAAGGTACTGACAAGTCTATGTCAGGTACTGACAAGTCTATGTAAGGTACTGACAAGTCTTGTAAGGTACTGACAAGCCTATGTAAGGTACTAACAAGTGTATGTAAGGTATTGACAAGCCTATGTAAGGTACTGACAAGTGTATGTAAGGTACTGACAAGTCTATGTAAGGTACTGACAAGTCTATGTCAGGTACTGACAAGTCTATGTAAGGTACTGACAAGTCTTGTAAGGTACTGACAAGCCTATGTAAGGTACTGACAAGTCTTGTAAGGTACTGACAAGCCTATGTAAGATACTGACAAGTCTATGTAAGGTACTGACAAGTCTTGTAAGGTACTGACAAGCCTATTTAAGGTACTGACAAGTCTTGTAAGGTACTGACAAGCCTATGTTTGGTACTGACAAGTGTATGTAAGGTACTGGCAAGTCTATCTAAGGTACTGACAATCCTATGTAAGGTACTGACAATTTCATGTAAAGTTCTGACAATTTCATGTACAGTTCTGACAAGTCTATGTAAGGTACTGACAAGTCTATGTAAGGTACTGACAAGTCTATGTAAGGTACTGACAAGACTATGTAAGGTACTGACAAGTCTATGTAAGGTACTGACAATTTCATGTAAAGTTCTGACAAGTCTATGTAAGGTACTGACAAGTCTATGTAAGGTACTGACAAGACTATGTAAGGTACTGACAAGACTATGTAAGGTACTGACAAGACTATGTAAGGTACTGACAATTTCATGTAAAGTTCTGACAAGTCTATGTAAGGTACTGACAAGTCTATGTAAGGTACTGACAAGTCTATGTAAGGTACTGACAAGACTATGTAAGGTACTGACAATTTCATGTAAAGTTCTGACAAGTCTATGTAAGGTACTGACAAGTCTATGTAAGGTACTGGCAAGACTATGTAAGGTACTGACAAGTCTATGTAAGGTACTGACAAGTCTATGTAAGGTACTGACAAGTCTATGTAAGGTACTGACAAGACTATGTAAGGTACTGACAATTTCATGTAAAGTTCTGACAATTTTATATAAAGTTCTGACAAGTCTATGTAAGGTACTGACAAGTGTATATAAGGTATTGACAAGTCTATATAAGGTACTGACAAGTCTATGTAAGGTACTGACAAGTCTATGTAAGGTACTAACAAGTGTATGTAAGGTATTGACAAGCCTATGTAAGGTACTGACAAGTGTATGTAAGGTACTGACAAGTCTATGTCAGGTACTGACAAGTCTATGTAAGGTACTGACAAGTCTTGTAAGGTACTGACAAGACTATGTAAGGTACTGACAAGACTATGTAAGGTACTGACAATTTCATGTAAAGTTCTGACAAGTCTATGTAAGGTACTGACAAGTCTATGTAAGGTACTGACAAGTCTATGTAAGGTACTGACAAGACTATGTAAGGTACTGACAATTTCATGTAAAGTTCTGACAAGTCTATGTAAGGTACTGACAAGTCTATGTAAGGTACTGACAAGACTATGTAAGGTACTGACAATTTCATGTAAAGTTCTGACAAGTCTATGTAAGGTACTGACAAGTCTATGTAAGGTACTGACAAGTCTATGTAAGGTACTGACAAGACTATGTAAGGTACTGACAAGACTATGTAAGGTACTGACAATTCCATGTAAAGTTCTGACAAGTCTATGTAAGGTACTGACAAGTCTATGTAAGGTACTGACAAGTCTATGTAAGGTACTGACAAGTCTATGTAAGGTACTGACAAGTCTATGTAAGGTACTGACAAGACTATGTAAGGTACTGACAATTTCATGTAAAGTTCTGACAAGTCTATGTAAGGTACTGACAATTTCATGTAAAGTTCTGACAATTTTATATAAAGTTCTGACAAGTCTATGTAAGGTACTGACAAGTCTATGTAAGGTACTGACAAGTCTATGTAAGGTACTGACAATTCCATGTAAAGTTCTGACAAGTCTATGTAAGGTACTGACAAGTCTGTGTAAGGTACTGACAAGTCTATGTAAGGTACTGACAAGTCTATGTAAGGTACTGACAAGTCTATGTAAGGTACTGACAAGACTATGTAAGGTACTGACAATTTCATGTAAAGTTCTGACAAGTCTATGTAAGGTACTGACAATTTCATGTAAAGTTCTGACAATTTTATATAAAGTTCTGACAAGTCTATGTAAGGTACTGACAAGACTATGTAAGGTACTGACAATTTCATGTAAAGTTCTGACAATTTTATATAAAGTTTTGACAAGTCTAAGTAAGTTACTTACAAACTGCAATATAGTTTAAATAAAGGATTATCTCAAGCAGTGACACTTTTAAGTTTCCATTCTAAAGTTTTGGTAGATATTGAAATAATTGGTTTTATTCTGTAATAAAAAGCTTATTCAAGATATCCGTATACAACAACGGGGATGTTATGACAAGACGTCATCCTTTTCATGGCCACTCCGCCAATCTCAACGTTAAATTAGTGATGATATAAACATTCTTCCTGTCTTCAGAAAATACCAATCTAGGTGCAAATGAGAGATGTCCATTGCGGATTATCAGTAGAATATTTAAGGTGATTAGTATTTGTTATACCTGGAGGTCAATTTCAAGGTCACATTGGAAACTAAAATATACATGTCATGTTACGTTAAAACTTGTGGTAAAATTATGTTTAATTGAACCTAGGAGTCAGTTCCGAGATAAAAATTGGAAATTGTACGATACATTTGCACGATCGATGTGAAATTCTATTTTGTATTACTAAAGCTTTTGTTCTCCAGTCTATATTAATTCAAATCTTAACTTCTTGATCTTAATTGCAATAAAACCCATTCAGAGCAAGCTTGGCGTCGGACATCTATTGGTTTTATTCAACAGAAATGCTTGTTGGAAAGTCGGCCATCCTGTTCTGCAATGGTGACCATGGTTACCATAAACAGATCCAAAACGTGGTCATGCTCTCGGAGGCGAAGACCACGTGTGAAGATACACTAGGGGGCTATGTCGTTCATCTGGAGACGGCGTCCGAACAACTCTGGCTGTCTCAGAGGTTCATGGGTAAAGCAAATATTTCTCTATGAAAACTCTTGTTTAAGGCTAATGACTAAGGTTAATTTAGACTACATGGCAACTTCATTTGTGTTAATTATTTTACTCAAACCACGCAGTATCTGACAAACAGGTACAAAGGCCAGTTGACTAGTGGTAAGTAATGATACTAGCTACATTGATTATCATTACAAGAAATATCACATCTGTTTTATTATACGGCTTTTCCCCAAACTTTTCGACAAAAAATATCAATTTAAAGTTAAAGTTAAAGGAAAATTTATTATTGTTTAAAATTTTACAAAATTAATTAGCAAATACCATTCCATTTGATTGGAACAAACATACGGAAATGATATACATAAATCAACACATATTTTCATCTAAAATAATAATTTATAGTAATATTTGTACAATTGGTCAAAGATAGGAGAGAAAATGACATTTAAAAATTTAGTTAATGATCTATCCAAATCAGTGCTTGGAAGGTTTTTTAAATTGTTTGGCTCTTTTCACTCAATTGATAGAAACGAAATGTCTTCACCGTTATATTTGTTGCTATTTGTTGTTTTTGAGTCTTTTCCTTCCGGCAGCCTTTTGAATTGCTCTTAATTTGCCGCAGCGAATCAGTGTTTTCGGAACGCGCTGCTCTCACATCACACAAAAGTCCTTTAGTTACTATATATGGGTACAAACTGTTGTTGTTGGGTTATTATATCATCCGGGAACGCTATTATGACGTCATGGGCAGCCCTTTTGTTACTATATTTAGGCACGAACTAGTGTTATTTTATTGTTATAATGTTGTATGATGTTTGATCCATGTGGAAATGTTTAGAATTACCCACGTAAAGGGGAGGACGCGGTCATATAACGATGTTTCATAATGTACAACTCTTATTATGTCAATGTTTGATAATGTATTTGATATAAAGTTTTGATGTTTCACTTTCCTTGTCTGTGAACGTTGGTACAGCGGTCGGTACGAGTGTTTATCAGTACTGGATAGGCCTAGAGAGAGGACAAGAGAACATCTCGGATTGGTTCTGGGTAACCGGCACTTCTTCAGTCCTAGCCACTAATCTGACAAATAGATGGGACACCAGTCCAACATACGATACGGCTGTAGCATCCACTGGATTCATAAAGTCCTACAGTAACTATTCTACAGCAGATTTTGTATGTGAAACTGAAGGTAAGTTTTTTTGTAACCGATATGAATATTTTGATCCGATATATTCTAATCTCATGTATATATCTTATCAAACGTGTGGCACTGTGGCAATGTGGCATTGCTGTGACGTCTTTAAACATCCTCATTAAAAGGTCATGTGTCATAACTATGTTTTCTTATGTAACGTCATAATGTTATTTGTGAGTCGGTGTGTCATAATGGCATGTACTTGTCATGATATTCCTTTATGTGCCTCTTTCGTAACGTAATTGCCTTATATGGCATCTTTACGTTATCCGAAATATCCTTTAATGTCATAATGTAATTGCATGTGTCGTCATAATCTCGTGTCATTATGACGTCATCTAACAAAACGTCATTACATTATGTTAGATGACGTCATAACGTTATCTCGTTGTTTTCATCATGGTTCTATTTTGTGTTGCTGTTTCATGTTTCAGATAATAAGTTCGTTCATCTTGATTTAATAATGAAAACAATTTTTTTTCCTCAGGGGCGCCATTCGATGGCTACTGTTTTGACAATGCCACGGTGACGTTCTATAGAAGCCACGGAAGTAACATATATAATTATATATCATATATGACCGACTTTGATAGTGCCCGGGAGTTCTGCGAGGCCATCCCTAACACTCACTTGGTCAACCTGGAGACAAATGATGAAAACAACTGGCTGAATACTATGCTTGGAGGTAGGAATACTTTCCATTAATGAAGGTTGGCCAACTTTAGCCGCACATTTTAAGCCTAAGCGAGTTAAGTTATTTACGGTCGTCATCCCTTCAACGCTATTTTCTTTCTTATTTCCAAGTAAACAATCAAATACTTATAAAATGCATCTATATAAAGGTAAATATTTAAACCAAATGTGGTGAAACTTGAAGGAGATTCTTTATTCAGCTGTCAAACTTGTTAATGGTGACTGTCAGGGATGTCGCAAGCAAGCAGCCTAAAAAGTATAAATTATTATACCCTTATAAATATACTGTATTTTAGTAAAAATGACGTCATCATTCCGGTCTCAGAGGATTTAGAAAGAGAGTAAATCACCTATCATAAATATATTATCACAAATGTCCGTTTACTGATTCCGGTAGGATACCATTATTACTCATGAAATTAAACAAATCAGCATCACTACCTAACAATGGAGAATCTTTGTTTAAAATTTGTGTAGAGAACATGTTGAAGCCGTGACCATCCTCCACCACAAAGATTAGTATATACTTTAATAAGTATTTACATTTCATTTCTCTGAGCATTCTATAAATAACTGAAATATATCAGTCATTACAATGGAACATTCAAACAAAACCAATGTAATCAAAAATGGATTTTTTAGAAAAAGGTGATTATCTCCCTTTGTTTGATCAATGTTTCAGAGTTATCGCCGAACAGTGTCTTTTGGATAGGACTTAGAAAGACTTCTGAAGGAGGAGAGTGGCAATGGTTGTATCAGAATAATGTCACTCAGTCAATTAATGAGTCATCTTTTGACTCTATGAGTTATCCAACTGCATATCTGCATGCTTATACTGAGTACAGCTTATGGAAAACCTCAGACAGGACAATTTCAAGGAATTTTATATGTGAAACGGAGAGTAAGTTAATGCAGAAAAATAGTCAGTTTTTATCTATTTATTTATTTGATTTTTAAATAATCTAAGAACAAAAAATGAACATGGTACTATTGAGCAAAACTAAACCCCTATCAATTGAAAAAGATATCACTAATTAAATTTAAATGTGAAAACCAGAATTTGACATAAATTAAAAAAAAAAGAAATTATTAAAAATAGTTTTGAATATGTGCGTTAAACATTTATATGAGTAATTTATATATATATGTACATATATATTCCAGTCCAGAACACATTTGAAACAACATCTGCAACAGCGATAACTACGAGTTCGCCGACAAACAGTTCTAATTTGACATCTACGCAAGACCTCTCCACAATTTCGCCGTCAACTAGCACCAGTTTTACATTAGCTATGATTGTGCCCATCTCATCAACAATTTTGCCAGCAAATAGTTCCGATTCAACATCAGTTACACCTACGCCTGGTTCAACTACCATTTCGCCAGCAAATAGTCCTAATTTTACATCGTCTATAGATACGCTTTACTCATCTACCATTTCGCCAGCAAGTAGTTCTGATTCTACATCGACTACATCTATGTCTGGCTCATCTACGTTTGTCTCATCCGCATCTTTAGAAACGATCGCGCCGTCACCATCATCAACAACGGTATCTATGTCAACCATTGGTCCATCACAAGCAACAACACAGGAAACTACAATAGTAAATACAGCGCCATCTGACGGAGTAATATACACAATGTTGAATTCCGACTCATCATGTGATCTAGGTTGCCGCTCGCTCATTCGTCATTGGAACACCACGGTAATTAGACAGACGCATGACATAGTAATGACGTCATCGGTTCTGAAGTGCGCCAGGCTTTGTTTGAATGTTCAAGGATGTATTGAAATTCGATATGTTGAGTCCACTGGAATATGTTTCCTTTTTATTTAACATCGACGCCATGTTCAGATATCGATTTTATTTTGTTGTTACGACATATTAATTTTATTCTATATAAATATAATTTCTATTTACACACATGGAACTACAGTAAAATATTCACAGGTTCATCAATAGACGATAAGTGAAAAGGTCCACGACAATGGTAATATATAAATATCAATAGATTTTACACAATTAAAGAAAATATAGATGGCGACAAATGCGATTTACTAGTATTCTATAATGTAAGTTACATGAACTTTAGAAGTAAAATAAGAAATTTAGTATTGTATTACCAAGCATCATGTATATATGTATAACGTGTTTACAATTCTTAATTCATTTTCACATTTTGACCTCACTATTATATCAAACACTTAGCAGCATTGAAGAGAAAATGATCCAATTAAATTTGAGACGAAAATACAATATCTCAAATAAAACATGACTATAAAAAATTATCATTAATCAAAGTTTAAGGTTTAGACTTGGGCAGGCATTTGATACAGTTGTATTGAAATGTAAATAGTCTATTACTCTATCAGTTAATTGATGATTGGGAAACTCTACAATATGTCTGTACAAAAGATGATATCAAAATTTAATTTAAATTAATTACATGATGTATAATCTAATATTATATCGGATATTTTATATCTACATAATGATAAGTTATATATATATATATGTGTGTGTGACAAATTGTTGTTACATTTCACTGCAATGCCATTATTCAAACTAACTAGAATTAAAAGTTATTCATAGTATCATAAATGATATCCAACGCGTGTTTCCTTGATGACGTCATTATTGTTGTCATAGAAACAGCGACAGTGCATCAACAGAAAATCTTTATTCAGTTTAAAGAAAGAAATGATAAGAATATTCTTTTTGTTGAATCAATAAAATATTTGTATAAAACAACAAGATGTGATGAGATTGTGGAAAATAAGTAATTACATTTTCTGTTTTTTGTTTGTTTAGTAGTTTGTATATATACTGAACATTATCCGATTACGTTATATCTTTAGTGATGTGTTGTGTTGTAAGGAGAGGGCCGATTTAGGTGTCAGAACGTGTGTCCAATCCCATTAATTGTGTCAGAGGAGGGCCTAGTAAGTTGTCAGAACTTGTGCCCAATCCTTTTGATTGTGTCAGGAGAGGGCCTATTTACTTGTCAGAATTTGTGCCTTATCCTTTGATTGTGTCAGGAGAGGGCCTAGTTAGTTGTCAGAACGTGTGTCCAATCCCATTAATTGTGTCAGAGGAGGGCCTAGTAAGTTGTCAGAACTTGTGCCCAATCCCTTTGATTGTGTCAGACTTAGTAAGTTGTCAGAAACAGTGTGTTTGATATGTTCATATAGGCACATAATATATAACATAAGATATGTATTTACATTTGATAGAAATAGGTTTAAAACATGTATGCTATTAGCATCCTCCTGTAATTGCTTGTCCGATGTGTATGCTTTATTTGACCTTAACTGACTTTTACACTTTTGTAAAATTCAAGTCTGGCGCGTCATTTAAAATATCTTTAGAAATACAATTTACACATGTAACATTAAAAAAAATGAAAAAAATTAGAAAAAAAATCATTATTTCTTAAGTTAGTATACATTTACATCAGGATTATAGATTGTCAGCAAAATGCACTTCGTTATTGATGTTTTTGACCTTATATGATATATTTCAAATATTTTAGATTAAACATATTTAAGATACATGTTTCAAGAATATTATCAACTTCCTTTCCTGTTCATATACATACATATAAAAAGCATGAGATAGCTTAACTTTATCGAATTTACATGACGCTTTGACATTGTATTAAGAGAGAGAGAGAGAGAGAGAGAGAGAGAGAGAGAGAGAGAGAGAGAGAGAGAGAGAGAGAGAGAGAGAGAGACAGACAGACAGACAGACAGACAGACAGACAGAGGACAGATAAAGTGTGTGTGTGTATGTGGGTGGGTGTGTGGGTGTGGGCGGGTGTGGGTGGGTGTGTGTGAGTGTGTGTGTGTGTGTGTGTGTGTGTGTGTGTGGGGGGGTGGGGTGGAAAAGGGGGGATCTGTGGGTGTGGGTGTGGGTGTGGGTGTGGGTGTGTGGTGGGTGTGTGTGGGTGTGTCTCGATAGTTGAAGTTGTGTACTTTATGTTGGTGTTGTTATATGTTTATCAAAATGTACAAATCTTTACCTCTTTGATTGAAAACAACAATTAAAAACTTTTAGTTTTTAAATTCTAGTACATATTTTGGAATTTCACAAATTATTTTAATGTAAATTATCGACGATCAATTCATTTCAAAATATTTTGTGACTATGTCAGGTAGACCGGAATTAAAACTGAATTTCTATGAAAATGTGCAATTGAAAATAAATCATATACATATTTTTTTGATGTTAGTGTTTAATTTCTCTTTGTGTGGATGCCAGTGAACGAAGTTATTATTCTAGCGAGACATCAGTACACAGACGAATTTAGAATTGTCCGGACACAGAAAGTACATCACTCTCTCCATCGCTGATAGTGAGATACCATGTAGATGACGTCAACAATCATCAGTGTATTTTTTAAATTTACTTTTGGTTTCGTTTTTCATAACGTCCTTTTTGAAGTTGATAATAATTAATTCTAAATATATTATACTAAAACCATGACGACTTATCAAATTAAGATCGCCTGTTGCAAGCAAGACTTTTTCGTTTTATAATTTTGTATAATTAGTTCTATTTCGCCAAGCGCAAATCTCGTAATTTATTGTCAAAACCGGAAAAGCTGCTATTGACGAACAAGGGCTTATATAGTCAATGTATATTACTTACTCGATAAAAAACTGACCAGTTCAGAAAGTAGACATTTATCAATAAAACTACAGATGAGCTAAACAGTGTTATCAACGAGTTAACAATACTTGAGAAAAAATTAACAAAAATGACGTGTTTTCTATTAATTGATTTTAAATGTTTGACAAAAAACATAAAAAATGCGAAGTAAACATCTTACATCGACTATTAAGCATTATTTACGATCTTCAAATGTTTATTTTCATAAAAAAATGTCACGTCATGCCTCATTGTATTGACATGATCAACTGATTGAAAACATCCCTAGAACTGGACTCATTTACCAAGGAGGAAGTATACCAGGCACAGGAAGTGATGAACATTGAGACGTGGAGAGTTTAGGCATGTGGACAGTGTTAATCTGTTTCGCTGGTGTGGAGAAGGCGAATATACATGATTTACATATATACAAAGTATTCTCAACATACAAAGTACGTGCTATACACATCCCATTCCATCTCTCTCTCTCTCTCTCTCTCTCTCTCTCTCTCCCTCTGTCTCTCTCTCTCTCTCTCTTTTTCTCTCTCTCTCTCTCTCTCTCTCTCTCTCTCTCTCTCTCTCTCTCTCTCTCTCTCTCTCTCTCTCTCTCTCTCTCTCTCTCTCTCTCTCTCTCTCTCTCTCTCTCTCTCTCTCTCTCTCTCTCTCTCTCTCTCTCTCTCTCTCTCTCTCTCTCTCTCTCTCTCTCTCTCTCTCTCTCCCTCTTTGTGTCTCTGTCTGTCTCTGTCTGTCTCTTTTTCTCACTCTCTGTCTCTCTCTGTCTCTCTCTCTCTCTCTCTCTCTCTCTCTCTCTCTCTCTCTCTCTCTCTCTCTCTCTCTCTCTCTCTCTCTCTCTCTCTCTCTCTCTCTCTCTCTCTCTCTCTCTCTCTCTCTCTCTCTCTCTCTCTCTCTCTCAACTTGTTTATAATAGTTTTTATTGTTATTTCATACTGCCACCTTGTACATATAATGTGTGTATATTAATATATTTGGAAAGGGCTTTATATTAGTGGTTAAACTTGTGCCCAATCCTATTGCTACTTATGTACCATAAAATATGTTTAAGTCAAATTATTTTCCAAGATTAATGCCCCTGTTGTTAACAAAATGTTAATTTGAAATGAATGTTCTCCACTCAATAATTCTGCACCCCGTTGTCTTTTTAATCATTCACGACAACATTGTGTTATTTTCCAGTTATTTTGTTTGTTGTTCGTCCATATAGTTACAAAAACAATATCACTAATGTACACAGTTAAACTACTGAGCACCCGACTATCCCAGGTAGGTCATTCGAACCCCAATCCGAAGTCCTCGAAACACAGTACTGAAACACACATGTAAATAATAGGTGGGACATTACAAAGGCAGTGCGTGTGTACTCTTCACAAACAGAAACATTTGTTGAGATATGTACACATGACCTTAAAACCTATAATCACCTTTCTTAAGTAAATACATAAATGTAAACATGTAAGTTTAATTTCAATAAATTCAGCTTACGACATGGAAAGTATGATATAGTTGCACAATTTTTTTCAGTGCATGTTTCTAATAAGAAACTTTAAAGGTATACTGGAGCTGTCACGATTGCAGGGATAACTTATAGATAGGTAAGTCACTTTTTTCCACATTTTTTTTTTTTAGATTGTGGTGATACACGTTATCTGTACATAAACGCTGTGTACAAATAAACTTATCGAAAATTTTAACATCTTAATTTTTTTTCTCAAATTTTGAAGACATTTATCTCGAATTTGAAACCGTCGATTTCATAAATCACTTTGTAAAGTGACTATTTAAAGAGGTCATGTTACCATGTCGTAACCTCCGTTATGTAAACAATTTTTTTTAATTCTTACGGAAAACTTGGGTCTTGTTAATCGGCTCTTTCTAAGACTGCATGTTTAGTGATCGTTAACAAACATCGGCCTCTATTTTGTATTTTATACTTACACGTTCAGTCTGTTGTTGAGTAAATTCCTCATTGAAAAAAATCAACCCATAATATCGGACTTACTTACGGAAGCCTATAAGGGACATTAGTTCCTAACATAAAATGCTCTATAGATATTTGTAAAATGTATGTTGAAATACAACATATAAGTTGATATATGGATATTTTTTTTCTTAAAGTATGTAATAATAGTCATTTTATCGATAAAAGTTATGTCGACTTGTCGACTTATGATATAAAATACTTTATATTAATGTCGATTTTCTTGATTAAACGGAATGAAAAATATTGCTTATTCATTATGTACTGTACCTTATTTTGCAGCTACATATTTCCTCGGATGCTCTGATCTCTACCACTCTATATTCTGACTGTTTCTTTCGAACCGATAGGGACTGTTTACGCATAAATACGGAAACCTATAAGGGACATAAGTTCCTAACATAAAATGCACTATAGATATTTGTAATATCCTCATTTAGGGACATAATTGTTTTCATCTTGGGATGAATAATTTAACATGCCACAGTTTATCTTCATATCTGACATTAAAATAAAACGACTTGGGCACATACATATTATTATCTTAAGAAAATATATGTCAGGAATGCAAAATGCTATTATTCCATTTTCGGACATAATAGATTGTATAATATTTTAAGTCGTATTTAAACTTTAATCTTCTTAAATTAAGATAAGTCAAATCGCCTTTTAAATAGTAACACTTTAACTCAATATACAACAATGCAGATTAATGAAGATGTAAGTTGATATAGTGATATTTGTTTTCTTAAAGTATCTAAAGTGCATTTTATGTTGGGAATTTATGTCCCCTATACGGTTCCGTAAGTATGTCTGATATTATGCGTTGATTCTTTTTAAAGAGGAATTTACTCAACAATAGGCTGAACCTGTAAACAGTTTACTACTTGAAATATTTCTTTACCTATATTACCTCGAGGTGTTGCCATGTTTATCAACTCGCTGTGTTGTCATGTTTATTTACTCGTTGTGTTGCCATGTTTATCTACTCGCCGTATTGTCATGTTTATCTACTCGTCGTGTTGTCGTGTTTATCTACTCGCCGTGTTGTCATGTTTATCTACTCCTTGTGTTGTCAAGTTTATCTACTCGCTGTGTTGTCATGTTTATCTACTCGCTGTGTTGTCATGTTTATCTACGCGTCGTGTTGTCATGTTTATCTACTCGTTGTGTTATCATGTTTATCTACTCACTGTGTTGTCATGTTTATCTACATGACGTGTTGTCATGTTTATCTACTCGTTGTGTTGTCATGTTTATCTACTCGTTGTGTTGTCATGTTTATCTACTCATTGTGTTGTCATGTTTATCTACTCGCTGTGCCGTCATGTTTATCTACTCGCTGTATTGTCATGTTTATCTACTCGTTGTGTTGTCATGTTTATCTACTCGCTGTGTTGTCATGTTTACTCGTTTTGTTGTCATGTTTATCTACTCGTCGTGTTGTCATGTTTATCTACTCGCTGTGTTGTCATGTTTATCTACATGACGTGTCGTCATGTTTATATACTCGTTGTGTTGTCATGTTTATCTACTCGCTGTGTTGTCATGTTTATCTACTCGCCGTGTTGTCATGTTTATCTACTCACTGTGTTGTCATGTTTATCTACTCGCTGTGTTGTCATGTTTATCTACTCGCTGTGTTGTCATGTTTATCTACTCGCCGTGTTGTCATGTTTATCTACTCGCTGTGTTGTCATGTTTATCTACTCGCTGTGTTGTCATGTTTATCTACTCGCTTGTTCACTTGGTTACTCATTGTTTTTTTACTGAATTAATTTTGATGCTATTTCCTCTTAAGATGCATGTGAACACCAAAACTAAGTACAGCTATTGAAGTTAAAATGATGTCGTTAAATTGATATGAATTAAATTTCACTAGTTCTTCAAATACGTATATCAAAGTGTTTTTTTTTCACACGATACAAAGGCGGACTTACCTGAAAAAAATGTCTACGTATTTGTGATTTTGTCAGAATTGTGATAACCTAATTATAGAGTTGATTTTATGTCCTTTCAGTGTCAGTATGCTTGTTTTTACCTTAATTATGTTTACCTTGGTGGTAACGAGCAACGCTGGAAATTCACACGGTAAGAATACACATCTGGATTTATCAAACAGCTAATTGTTAAGTTTTCTCGCAGTCCAATAATGATTGTATTTGTTGGTTGATGTATGTGCTGTTGCTGTGGATTAACAGATTCATAGCCTGTTTTTTTTTTTTTTTTGTTTTTTGTTTTGTTTTGTTTTTTGTTTTTTTTTTTTTTTTTTTTTTTTTTTTGTTTTTTTTTTTTTTTGTTTTTTTTTGTTCTATTTTTGTTTTTGTATTTTGGGGGTATTTTTTTAGGGGGGGGGGCGATGATGGGGGTATTTCCATGTTCCCATTTTCCAAAAACATGGCTTTGTAATGAAAAATAGCTTAATATAAGGCGAATCCGCAGGACTACTCAAAGACAAAACAGTAACGTTTGAAAATGTGATAGATTAATTTCTATAAGACAAACTTTTAATTTGTAGAAACGGCCGCAAAAGAAATTGCTACACAGATGTAAGACATTATGTCAGAAATTAGTACAAAAAATATATTTTGCTTAAAGTGTCATATTCACCACCATACCAAATGTCATCGATATCTTATAACTTTGACCAATCAAAAGTACCTATTAGGTGACCATTGTCCAATGAGAAACTGACATTAGCGTTTTGTTCCGAGTGTTATTATACACTTATATTTCGGAAGGTGGTGGACCCTTCGGGAACCCTCAACATTCAAGCGTCAGAGCAACCATGATCACAACTAGGCTTAGAATCAATTTCTCCCAGAGTGCACTGCGGTACCCCAGTAAAACTGTATTGTGACTGTTAAGGAACAACAACTCTGGTAAAGATTGACTTAAAGTAATAGTACGTGATCACAGTCGCACAGACACTTGGGTATTACGAGGAGTTCCGAAGGATCCAACGTCTTTCAAGGTAAGTAAACGAGCACTAAATTACTTTTCGGTAATGATTAAATAGATTCAGACCTGAAAGTTTTACTCTGTCGGGAAAACCACGTGTATCAGATTGCCGACAAAAGGGAGGAGTACTATGCCACCGCTCGTGCGATTTGTGAATCACAGCAGGAAGGTCATCTCGTACATTTGGAGACAGAAGCAGAACAGGAATGGCTGCAGGGACAATTGGATTGTAAGCTTTATAAAATACCAAATAAGCATTTTCGTATGAAAAAATAGTTTTTAAAATTTTATTTTATGGGATAAATGCCCCGTTTCTTCTTTCAACCACGTTACATTGATTGGATTCTATACTGATACACTTACCTTAAAGACAACAGATTAGATCTTGTCGTATTTTGTGAACGGGTACCCTGTCAGCATTTTTAATTTCATTGTTTCTCTTTGGATTTACGACTTTGAATTAAATTTCACCATACTGGTTTGTTTATTTTTATATATAACATTTTCACATAACTAGTGACCCTACCTGATCAGATATCATTTTCAGCTCAACCTTATACAGGCTGATATGATTTCAATTGAAAAAAAACGTTGTCATTTCTGTATTGAATGTTTTAGATATCGTAGAAAAAACGGTAAATTGTTTCTTTACTGTATCACATTTCGGCATAGAATTGTTATCAAGTCACAATGGAACCAATGAAATTCAGCTTTGTACTCCGATAATGTCACATCACAGGTCTGGGGTGTATTCCGATAATGTCACATCACAGGTCTGGGGTGTACTCCGATAATGTCACATCACAGGTCTGAGGTGTACTCCGATAATGTCACATCACAGGTCTGGATTGTACCCCGATAATGTCACATCACAGGTCTGGGGTGTACTCCGATAATGTCACTCACAGGTCTGTGTTATATGTCACATCACAGGTCTGGGTGTACTATATCACATCACAGGTCTGTGTTAATGTCACATCACAGGTCTGGGGTGTAATGTCACATCACAGGTCTGGGGTGTACTCCGATAATGTCAATTCACAGGTCTGTGTTATATGCCGATAATGTCACATCACAGGTCTGGGTTGTACTCCGCTAATGTCACAACACAGGTCTGTACTCCGATAATACTCCGATATAATGTCACATAACAGGTCTGGGATGTACTCCGATAATGTCACATCACAGGTCTGAGTTGTACTCCGATAATGTCACATAACAGGTCTGGGATGTACTCCGATAATGTCACATCACAGGTCTGGGTTGTACTCCGATAATGTCACATCACAGGTCTGGGTTGTACTCCGATAATGTCACATCACAGGTCTGGGTTGTACTCCGATAATGTCACATAACAGGTCTGGGATGTACTCCGATAATGTCACATCACAGGTCTGGGTTGTACTCCGATAATGTCACATAACAGGTCTGGGATGTACTCCGATAATGTCACATCACAGGTCTGAGTTTATACTCCGATAATGTCACATCACAGGTCTGTGATAATGTCACATCACGATAATGTCACATCACAGGTCTGGGTTGTACACATCAGGTCTGATAATGTCACATCACAGGTCTGGGTTGTACTCCGATAATGTCACATCACAGGTCTGGGTTGTACTCCGATAATGTCACATCACAGGTCTGGGTTGTACTCCGATAATGTCACATCACAGGTCTGGGGTGTACTCCGATAATGTCACATCACAGGTCTGGGGTGTACTCCGATAATGTCACATAAAAGGTCTGGATTGTACTCCGATAATGTCACATCACAGGTCTGAGGTGTACTCCGATAATGTCACATAACAGGTCTGGGATGTACTCCGATAATGTCACATCACAGGTCTGAGTTGTACTCCGATAATGTCACATAACAGGTCTGGGATGTACTCCGATAATGTCACATCACAGGTCTGGGTTGTACTCCGCTAATGTCACAACACAGGTCTGTGTTATACTCCGATAATGTCACATCACAGGTCTGGGTTGTACTCCGATAATGTCACATCACAGGTCTGGGGTGTATTCCGATAATGTCACATCACAGGTCTGGGATGTACTCCGATAATGTCACATAACAGGTCTGGGATGTACTCCGATAATGTCACATCACAGGTCTGAGTTGTACTCCGATAATGTCACATCACAGGTCTGGATTGTACCCCGATAATGTCACATCACAGGTCTGGGGTGTACTCCGATAATGTCAATTCACAGGTCTGTGTTATATGCCGATAATGTCATATCACAGGTCTGGGTTGTACTCCGCTAATGTCACAACACAGGTCTGTGTTATACTCCGATAATGTCACATCACAGGTCTGGGTTGTACTCCGATAATGTCACATCACAGTCAAGGTCTGTGTTGTATCCGATAATGTCACATCACAGGTCTGTAATATATTCCGATAATGTCACATCACAGGTCTGGGTTGTACTCCGATAATGTCCGATAATGTCACATCACAGGTCTGGGTTGTACTCCGATAATGTCAATGTCACATCACAGGTCTGGGTTGTACTCCGATAATGTCACATAACAGGTCTGGGTTGTACTCCGATAATGTCACATCACAGGTCTGGGTTGTACTCCGATAATGTCACATCACAGGTCTGGGATGGACTCCGATAATGTCACATCACAGGTCTGAGGTGTACTCCGATAATGTCACATCACAGGTCTGGGTTGTACTCCGATAATGTCACATCACAGGTCTGGGTTGTACTCCGATCATGTCACATCACAGGTCTGGGTTGTACTCCGATAATGTCACATAACAGGTCTGGGTTGTACTCCGATAATGTCACATCACATCACAGGTCACATCACAGGTGGGTGTAATCAGATAATGTCACATCACAGGTCTGGGTTGTACTCCGATAATGTCACATCACAGGTCTGTGATGTAATCAGATAATGTCACATAACAGGTCTGGGTTGTACTCCGATAATGTCACATCACAGGTCTGGGTTGTACTCCGATAATGTCACATAACAGGTCTGGGATGTACTCCGATAATGTCACATCACAGGTCTGAGTTGTACTCCGATAATGTCACATCACAGGTCTGTGTTGTATTCTGATAATGTCACATCACAGGTCTGTAATATATTCCGATAATGTCACATAACAGGTCTGGGTTGTACTCCGATAATGTCACATCACAGGTCTGGGTTGTACTCCGATAATGTCACATCACAGGTCTGTGTTGTACTCCGATAATGTCACATCACAGGTCTGGGTTGTACTCCGATAATGTCACATCACAGGTCTGGGTTGTACTCCGATAATGTCACATCACAGGTCTGGGTTGTACTCCGATAATGTCACATAACAGGTCTGGGATGTACTCCGATAATGTCACATCACAGGTCTGGGTTGTACTCCGATAATGTCACATAACAGGTCTGGGTTGTACTCCGATAATGTCACATCACAGGTCTGAGTTGTACTCCGATAATGTCACATAACAGGTCTGGGTTGTACTCCAATAATGTCACATCTCAGGTCTGGGTTGTACTCCGATAATGTCACATCACAGGTCTGGGATGGACTCCTATAATGTCACATCACAGGTCTGGGTTGTAATCCGATAATGTCACATCACAGGTCTGGTTTGTACTCCAATAATGTCAATTCACAGATCTGGGTTGAACTCCGATAATGTCACATCACAGGTCTGGGTTGTACTCCGATAATGTCACATCACAGGTCTGAGTTGTACTCCGATAATGTCACATCACAGGTCTGTGTTGTATTCTGATAATGTCACATCACAGGTCTGTAATATATTCCGATAATGTCACATCACAGGTCTGGTTTGATGTTGTTGTTGTTCCTTTCAAGAGAATATGTACCATAAAAAATACATGTTCAAAATTAGCCAGTGTCCATATCAAAGAACTATATCCAGCAAACTCTTTAATCATAATGAAATATTCACGTTACTATTTTTTTTTTTTTAAAATGGCGTTATCTGTCGTAAATCACTTAAAACTTTTTTACACATTTTTAATTGCCTCTCCAAAAAAAAGGGAATCGAACGAAAATTATTTTAAAAAATCATTTTCATTTCTGATCTTTTACATAACAGAATTGTGAGTAATACAGTCAGTTTTTACATATTTTCCCCTTTTTCTAATGACAAATATTCCTTTATTCAGTGTACAATTTGGAAACGAGGTACCTGATTGGCTTGGAGAGAAACAGTACAACCAGTGCTGAGTGGTACTGGGTTGGGTCCGGAACACAAACACTAGCTACAGGATTGGAAAGTCGCTGGGCATCTAATGCTCCGCGGGACTCGCATACATTTGGCAAGATTGATAATTCAAATATTGACAGCGTTTCTAGTAACAGTAAAACAGCTTTCATCTGTGAATTTGATGGTAATTTGATTTCTCATTCTGTTGATTGTCTCACTCTCTGTATTCACTTTCAACGCCTAGTCATGAGAAATTTCACAGTAAGAAAGCAAGATAATCTGTAGTGCTCTATGACAGTGCAGTATGACTCTGAATTATATTTCAAAGTATATCGTGTAACGAACCTCCAACGTGAAGAAAAAACATTTTGTAGATAAAATCGGAAAATTGATCAAATTTCTGATCTGCAATATTTTTGTCTTGTTTGGTGATACTATCTGCGGCACAGAATATAAGCTTGGCCACTTTTTTCGGCTGATTTGTTGATTCCTTTCAAACATGTCTGAGCACAAGGCACAAATAACTTGCCAAGCATTTAATTTCGTTTTCGGATTTTCATATATTGATGATTTCTTGTCTTTAGGTAACATGTTATGTATATTCTCATCAATCATTTATACCCACTAAACACAGAAACTTATGACATAATAGACTTTTCTGCGTCTGTCTTTCCTTGAGGTAAACAATGGGAAGCAAGCTTTCACCAAACTTTATGGAAAGCGTGATAATTTAAATTTTACTTTTTGAGAACTTTCATTTTCTAGATAATTGATTTATCTACTTGTCAAATGAGATTATTGATCCCTTCTGTCAAATCTATGGATTTTTATATGTTGCAGATACAGAGTAATTCGATACTAATGAGCTTGGTCCCCATATCACGATGTTAACAACTATCAGATAACATGTTTCGAGAGAGCAGGTTCATGAAATATATGACTGCCATTGTGATATCATTTTCATCAAAAATATATTCCTTTGTGCGATATGAAACTCGAAGCTCGTTAGTATACCAGGCGGTTCCTTGTTTCCACTGTTCTTTTTTGGAAATATGGCATTACTGACTTAGCATCATCAACATTTACATTGTAGATGTCGTTGATAAAGTAAAAGACGCTTTACCCTTCAGGAACATATGGTCCTTTTCTCACTGTCCTTTTGTTCGTTTTTAACATTACTTCATCGATTTGGAGTTTGAATTATTGATCGACTGACGTGTCGGTATCGCCTTATTCTTTTGTTAATCCTCTTGATGATTCTGAATATCAATTTGTCATTTTTTCATATTGATTATATATCTGTTTTGGAACATATCAATAAAGAGCTGTCAGTTGGCGCCATGGTAACACGCCCGCTGTGTGTTGATTCCATGATCGGACGTGAAGAAATCATCAAGTGTGCTGCTCGATCACGTGGGTTTTCTCCCAATACTCCGGTTTTCTACAGATTTCATCCAGGTCAAAGAGAGTGTTTAATATGTTGATGTAACTTGCTTCGCGGTTGTTATAAAGAGTTTTACTTAAAAGGTTGTTTCCTTGTGTTACCAAATATTATTATTACGTTCTTTTACAGATGGACCAATGCTTTCTTATTGTATGATTAACAGTGAGGTCCGTTTCTACCAAAACACAGGAAGTGTTTACAACGCATTTTCATCAATGGTCACGTTTGATTCTGCGCAAGCTATTTGCGCAGGGCATCCAAATACACACCTTGTAACCTTAGAAACAACAGCGGAACATGATGCGATAGAGCAAATGATTGATGGTAAAAGCGATTTGTTTGTTTGTTTGTTTGCTATTTTTTTTGGGGGGGGGGAGGGGCTGGGAGGGGGTTGGGTTTGGGGAGTTGGATTACTTTTTATTAATTACATTTTATCCCCGCAAAAAAGGATGTACATTCTTACAAAACCTAACTAGAAAATGGGAATTTTTTATGGCAAAACGAAGAAGCAGGGCGTTGATGAAAATGAACAATAAAACTGGAAATATAGAATGGGAGTTGCTGTTTTTAACGAACCAAACTCGGCCATTCTTGCAATTGTGGATCAACATTCCGATGCTATTTTCTAATTCTTTAGTGTAAACAATAGTCAGTTAAAACTTCAAATTGTTCAAATTATTGTCAAATTCAACATTTTAATTCACCATGGGAGACATCAACTTTGGAGTCATGGCCCCTTTTACGTGACATACAAATGTTTTTTGTACACTCAGTCCTGTGAAGTTGTTAGTTTCGTTTAATCTATGGAGCTGTAAAAAAGATTCACGCGCACCCTACTGATAAAATGAAAACAAATTGTATATAAATTACATATTTCGTTAAAATACAGATGGGCAAAACCTCGAGATCAAAGTTTGTTTTCAATTTTACATTTTGATTATTTACCCAATTCTTTCAGATTTTTTTCTGTATTTGTGTATATTTTTTTTCTTCATTTTTCTTGCCCAATCGATGTTTTACCTACAAAAATGCACCATGTCATTGTTCGATAAGTTGGAGAACGTTTTACGATATTGTCTTGAAATATGCTTAATACATTCCATATCATAGTCCTTATTAAACTACATATTTAAATGGTTAATGACAAATCCTTTTGTATATTTCTTAAAGATATAGATCTTTCTTTTGATGAGTTCTGGATTGGTCTACAACGGGAGTCTACTTCAACTGACTGGAACTGGGTATATCCGGACAGAAACTCCGTACCATTAACCGACTCTAATTTTGGAATTGGTTATACCGAATCAGGTCCTTTGAATGCTTGCATGAAAAACAATAACTGGTTGCAACTCGACAAGACAGCGGAAAGACATTTCCTTTGCGAAACAGAAGGTACTCATGGCAGAATGATAACATAACGATATGTCATAAAAAGTTACTATTATCAACAGAATCTGATATCGCTATGGTTCATTTTTTCCAATCAAAATGGACCAATTTCACTTGTCGTTCACCAAAGCATTTTAAGATGCATGTAGCATAAAGGAACTAAAAGGTTTTTTTTTGTTGTTGATGAATCATTTCCTGACCGTGTGACTGGGAATCTATATCTATCGTTCGGTCCAAAAGAATGTGACTGTTTTGTAAACAATATAAAGTCTGATGTCTCTGTATAGTAAACATACGGTTGGTAGAGTCTAAATTTCTTCACTGACTATGGTTCTCTTAATGTGATTTCAGTGACAAATACAACAAGTGTAAGCACAACGTCAGTTTCTTACACTACGGCCACCCAAACTCCTACTCCGACTACTACAACCACTCCAACAACCACGACCACTCCAACAACAACTACTACAACCACTCCAACAACCACGACCACTCCAACAACCACGACCACTCCAACGACCACGACCACTTCGACAACAACTACTACAGCCACTCCAACAACCACGACCACTCCAACAACTACTACAACCACTCCGACAACCACGACCACTCCAACAACAAGTACCACAACCACTCCAACAACCACGACCACTCCAACAACCACGACCACACCAACAACAACTACTTCAACAACCACGACCACTCCAACAACAACTACTACAACCACTCCAACAACCACGACCACTCCAACAACAAGTACCACGACCACTCCAACAACAACGACCACTCCAACAACCACGACCACTTCAACAACAAGTACCACAACCACCCCAACAACATCAATCACGACCACTCCAACAACAACTACTACAACCACTCCAACAACCACGACCAATCCAACAACAAGTACTACAACCACCCCAACAACAACAACCACGACCACTCCAACAACAACTACTACAACCAATCCAACAACCACGACCAATCCAACAACCACGACCACTCCAACGACCACGACCACTCCAACAACAACTACTACAACCACTCCAACAACCACGACCACTCCAACAAGTACCACAACCACTCCAACAACCATGACCACTCCAACAACCACGACCACTCCAACAACCACGACCACACCAACAACAACTACTTCAACAACCACGACCACTCCAACAACAACTACTACAACCACTCCAACAACCACGACCACTCCAACAACAAGTACCACGACCACTCCAACAACAACGACCACTCCAACAACCACGACCACTTCAACAACAAGTACCACAACCACCCCAACAACAACAACCACGACCACTCCAACAACAACTACTACAACCACTCCAACAACCACGACCAATCCAACAACAAGTACTACAACCACCCCAACAACAACAACCACGACCACTCCAACAACAACTACTACAACCACTCCAACAACCACGACCAATCCAACAACCACGACCACTTCGACAACAACTACTACAACCACTCCAACAACCACGACCACTCCAACAACAACTACTACAACCACTCCAACAACCACGACCACTCCAACAACAAGTACCACAACCACTCCAACAACCATGACCACTCCAACAACCACGACCACTCCAACAACCACGACCACACCAACAACAACTACTTCAACAACCACGAGCACTCCAACAACAAGAACCACAACCACTCCAACAACCACGACCACTCCGACAACAACTACTACAGCCACTCCAACAACCACGACCACTCCAACAACAAGTACCACGACCACTCCAACAACAACGACCACTCCAACAACCACGACCACTTCAACAACAAGTACCACAACCACCCCAACAACAACAACCACGACCACTCCAACAACAACTACTACAACCACTCCAACAACCACGACCAATCCAACAACAAGTACTACAACCACTCCAACAACTACAACAACCACTCCAACAACCACGACCAATCCAACAACAACGACCACTTCAACAACCACGACCACTCCAACAACAACTACTACAACCACTCCAACAACCACGACCACTTCAACAACAAGTACCACAACCACTCCAACAACCACGACCACTCCAACAACAAGTACTACAACCACTCCAACAACCACGACCAATCCAACAACCACGACCACTTCAACAACAAGTACCACAACCACTCCAACAACCACAACCACTTCAACAACCACGACCACTCCAACAACAACTACTACAACCACTCCAACAACCACGACCACTCCAACAACAAGTACCACAACCACTCCAACAACCATGACCACTCCAACAACCACGACCACTCCAACAACCACGACCACACCAACAACAACTACTTCAACAACCACGAGCACTCCAACAACAAGAACCACAACCACTCCAACAACCACGACCACTCCGACAACAACTACTACAACCACTCCAACAACCACGACCACTCCAACAACAAGTACCACGACCACTCCAACAACAACGACCACTCCAACAACCACGACCACTTCAACAACAAGTACCACAACCACCCCAACAACAACAACCACGACCACTCCAACAACAACTACTACAACCACTCCAACAACCACGACCAATCCAACAACAAGTACTACAACCACTCCAACAACTACTACAACCACTCCAACAACCACGACCAATCCAACAACAACGACCACTTCAACAACCACGACCACTCCAACAACAACTACTACAACCACTCCAACAACCACGACCACTTCAACAACAAGTACCACAACCACTCCAACAACCACAACCACTTCAACAACCACGACCACTTCAACAACAACAACAACTACAACCACTCCAACAACCACGACCACTTCAACAACCACGACCACTCCGACAACAACTACTACAACCACTCCAACAACCACGACCACTTCAACAACCACGACCACTCCGACAACAACCACTACAACCACTCCAACAACAACAACAACCACGACCACTCCAACAACCACGACCACTCCAACAACCACGACCACTCCAACAACCACTCCAACAACAACAACAACAGCCACTCAAACAACCACTCCAACAACAACAACAATGACCACTCCAACAACAACTACGACAATTTCAACAACTTCAGCTATGACTGAAACCAAATCTACACCAATTAGTTTTGGAAACTCGTATTTCTATCTGTCGACTTTCACACATACTAATGGATGTCAAGAATACCGAAAGGATCACGTGGTGGCTGGCATGACTATATCTAATACTTTGAATACCAATTCAGTAATAAGTTGCGGAAGAATGTGTTATCGTTTTCCAACATGCATTGCATTTCAATTTGACGAAATAAGTAAAGGGTGCGCATTGTATAGCACGTGATCAATATACAATCATGCTTAGGAAAAATGAGGGTTGTGATATTGGAGTTGGAGATCCATGACCTTCAATTCAAAGTCACTCACCAAATATATGTTTAAGCGTGCGCTTGCATATTGTATAACCTGGTCTAAGGTGATAATTCGTAGGTGATATGACAAATTAACTGTCCCTCGCAGTCTTATGGAGTGCTATCGCTGGTCTTAATGACAATTTAAACCAGTGGAAGAACGCTGTTCTGGAAATGTGATTTACGGAACATGGGTGTACAAAAACATGTATGTATTTAAATTTGCATGGCAAGGTCACGGTATTGATTAAAAAGACAGAAAGTATTTGTTTCTCTCACAACTGCGAGGTGTGTTATTACTTGCCTACAAACTGGAAGTATTGAAGACTATTGCAGCGTATCAAAATACAGATTTAATTTTTGGATAATTTTTTATGATAATAATATAATATGCAATATTTATATAGCGCTCTATAAAATTGTCAGCTCTAAAGCCGTTTACAAGTCTTGTTTGATAAACTTATCTCTAGATTAAAATGTACAAAATACATCACATATACATCTACTATAATACAAATAAGTATTGGGTAAATTTCGGAAGAGCCAGTACAAGTGCAAACTAATTAAAACACAGTTAAAACACTATTTACACATCAAATGCACGTTTAAAGAGATGCGTTTTCAGTCTGGATTTGAATACTGAGAGTGAGCCACATTGACGCAAGTAGAAAGGTAGTTCATTCCACAACTGTGCTGCCGAGTGGTCTAAACAGCGGACTCCATATGTAGCAGTTCCTGTTTTAGGGACAGCCAGCATATCACTAGACTGTGATATCAGTGTCCTTGCTGGAACACATGGAACAACCAGTTAATCTATAATGTTTAGTGGATCTTTACTTGTTAATAACCGCGTTTACCTCTTTAGTATGCATAACTATTTAGATAGATACGAGCTGTCAGGACGTCAACAGTATACCTTATCGTAAGATCGAAAGACTGGATAGAACATTTACTGTGCATAAACGTAATCATGTTTGAAAAGGTTTTTCTAAAAACTTTACAAAAAAAGAGAGATTTTACCAGGTTAAGGAAAGCCTACGGCAACTAGATACCAATTCTACATACATAAGACAAAATATGTAATCCTCAAATGTGATATTATTTGCCCTGATTTATTAGTTCGTTTTTACTGTTGCACAGACACTTACATAATAATTATCAAATGTAATTAACACATTAGCTTTAAGAAGCGTCGAGAGGGACGCACAACCTGCTCTTAAAATTCGCATTACAAATAATATACTACTGCAGAAAAATCAAATTCAAGGGAAATAGAACAACTACCCAATCACTGCTGATCTACTATTGAAGAAACGTCCAATCAAAACTGATCTACTATATGTATTGAAGAAACATCCAATCAAAACTGATCTACTATATTTATTGAAGAAACATCCAATAAAATTCATTACGAATTTGTTTATTAAGATAATTAGAATAAATAGAAAGAACTACGCTAAATTCAGAAAAGGTCATCGTTTGCATTCAGAATTGGTTAAAGTGATGAAGAAAGCGTGGAAGTGTTAAGCTGCCATCCACCATCCTAAAGTAACTAATATTTCTGTGGAGGATATTACACGTGAACGATGCCGCCTGTGTATCTTGTGGCTTCATTGTTGTAAACTTTCACCTCATTTACATAAGTTTCATTATCTATTTTGTTGATCGATATTAACATGGCGAGTGGAATTCGATGAAGCAGAGGACGAACTGTCACCCGAAATCTTTTATTTTATTCTTGAATTTAAAGCTATATTAGGCAGAAAAATGGGTATTCACTTGCTTTTTAGATCTTGTATATTGATATATAAAAAAATTGATAAACAAAATAACTGCATTGATAATTTTGTATATATATTGATCATCAGTGCTATTCTGATATGTTAAGCAATCAGTAAAACCAATGAATCGCATTTTAAATCATTTGATGTATAAGTTGCGGAATTGTTCTGAAAAAGTTAAGTCTTTGTTGATACCTGCTGATTTTGTAGGCCAACTGACTGACCATTTATTGATTTCTAAGTAAAGTTACCTTATTCAACATATAGAATACTCGCACAGCCCCTTCACACGGCAATATAAGGTCTAAATATACGTTTTACCAGGGCTGCGTATTTTAGCTTTCTTTTAAACTTGACAGAAGAAAAACAAGTTAAGCCAGTCAGTATCAAGCCGTTTGTGCAGGTAATTTCTTTTTTATATTCATTTTTTTCCTTTTTCGAATCATTATTTTGAATTTATTCCTGAACAAGTTAGAATAATTGCAAAATCATTTGATCTGATATTGTTTGCAAAAACATTCAACGGCTTCTCTTTCTGTCACTGGGCGCCGTATCTTCAAGCATTGTTAAATATTTAACTGTAATCAATCCTTTCTCGTCACCCGCTGATTTCGTTGTTTTAGGAACGTTCTGTATTATAAACTTTTTTAGTTTTAGGAGTATATTGTTTGAACAGTTGTGCGACCCTCCGAGGAACGTAAAAACAAAAATGAAAGTCAGCACAAACAAAATCTGGTAACTATGAAAACTTATCATTACCTTTGGTAAGTTAAATAGAAACGTAATAGACAAACGCACGTGATAAATGCATTTTTAAGTATGATTTGATCAATGATAGAAGAAATACACAAAGGTATCTTGTTAGAGAAGGTTAAGTGAGTAGGAACCAGCTTTTTTCAAACTACAGGATTGTCAGAAAATAATATACATTAACCTTTTTTTATAATTTCCCATTTTCTTGTGATTTGTAAAAAAAAGGGGGGGGGGGAGAGAAAAATTTAAAAAAAAAAAACGTAAACTTCTTCGACGCTTCAAATAATATTATAAACAACTTTGTTTCCACAGTAGAATTGTCATCCTATTTCTGGCCGCTTTCATTAGTGAAGCTGCTGGCTTTTCTATGCCGAATGCCGACATCATTGATAACACTATTACCGGCAAGAGTTATGCCGTTCATCAACAATGTGCCAACTACGCAAATTCAAAGTCCACTTGCGAAGGCGTTACAGACACTCACCTGATCCACGTGGAAACTGAGGATGAACAATTTTGGCTGTATGAACAACTGATATGTAAGTAGTTGATGTGACAAACCATTCCTCGCAGTCTTATTGAATGATATCATATTGTATAACTCGGTCCGAGGTGATAATTCGTAGGTGATGAGACAAACTAACTATCCCTCACAGTCACCTGATCCACGTAGAATATTGATATGGACAACTGATATGTAAGTTCAATCAAACCCGTCTTAAATGCCACTTTAATACAAAGATTACCTGTCTGTAACGGTCGCTTTTTAGTTGCCTTTGTAATGTAATTTGTATATATAGATAACGACCATCTGTGTATACCATTGCCATTTTTCTGTGGTCTACTTAGTTGTCTTTATGTGCAAGTTTGTATGTTTTATTTTGTTTGTGGACGTTCTTATAGTGCAACCATACTGACATGTCATATGTTGGATACAGTGGTAACATGGAGTTCTGTTCGGTCGCATTTTACTAACAACAAGTAAATCAATCATTCCACATCGTAACCTCTGCTGTAGGCCAAACTTTGAGCACAACTTATAGTTTAATTGACTTCGGGGCATAACCTCTCACTTAAGCAATGATGAAGTAGTGTCAAGACACAACAGTGACAGTGACAGGCTTGGAAAAAGAGCTTCGCAAAAAACGAGAAAATATACGTCGCTCTTAACGATCAAATTGTTGTAGGTAAACTGTGGAATATTTTTATTATTATTATTATTATTATTATTATTATCATTCTTATTATAATTAATATTATTTTTTTTCATTGTTTTTTACCACGAAACAGCCAAATCCTTTGACAGAAACAACGCTCCTAACGGATGTGGTGTTACAGACCTATTAGCTGAATTCTCTTTAATATATTTGACATCAATTAATGAATTGTTTTTGTTTTCATCAAAAATATATATTTAATAAATATTTGGTAAAGGCATGCAATATCAAGAACTCCTGGGTATCCGTCAGAGAGAAGAAGTTTTCTATCATTATTGTTGACTAATATAACGTTTTTCTTCTGTATAACACATCATTCTGTTGTATTTGTACTACGACAATGTGTGGGATTGTTTAAAATCAAACTAGAGTAGGTCGACATCCAAAAGTACATAAGTAAATGGTAAGATAAACATAAACTGTACAGAAATTAATTCTAATTAGATTAGATTGTTACTACACATAGAGTCTGTTTATCACGAACTATTAATTGTCAATCTTCTTTTATGTCGACATTTACTACAGAGATTGGGCTCAGTCGTTCGGGTAATCGATTTGAGGAGTTTTTAAGTTTTACACAAAATTTCTATTTGCTATTTCTGTGGTAAACGAACTCCCACGCTAACACTTATGGACGTTGATTGGTCTTTGAAATGAAACATCATCAATAACGACAAATAAATTCATTATTGAGGATATACAGTTCATCGTTTGGAAAGATATCAGTATTATATGGTACAAATACGTTTTCAAATAATATTTCCATTGACAATTAAAACTATGAGAATTCCGTTCTGATTCTTTTCTCGAAAACAGGATAATAAAAAATTAAGTAATGACTAAGACTAGGACTATTTCTTTGTGCAATATGAAGCTGGAGGTATTTCATGTTCGTTAGTGTGTCTGTTGGTTTCTTTGTTGTATACCTTGTTCTTATTAGAGAACGCGACATTACTTACTTGGATTGACAAAGATTTACATGACGGGTGTCGTCTATGAAGCAGTATACGCTTACCTCTTGCACTTTTTCAGAAGTCTCCATGTAAATCGTTCTTTTGTTCATATTTTGTCCTAGTTTACTGAATTTGGATTATGATTTTGTCGACATGTAGTTAATGTTTTGATGATTTTGCTAAGATTCCTTATCAATACCATTGCCCATTATAATTCTTATTTTCAAATAGCAATCCTTAATCTACTGCATTGGTGCGATTGTCAGCTTCTGTTGAAATATAACAACCAGTGTACTAGACTTTGTCACGTCGACCTGCTGTGAAGATCTGTTCAATCACCTTGTCCAAATTATCACGCTCCGTCATTCTCAATGACTGCATCATCAAGACTCTCAATATACATATATATCCAGCCTTAGTCATACATCTGGATCTATTTATTAAGCCTTCGTCAGCTGTATTGTTTCGATATTCGACTAATCACATCAGACAAGGTTTTACCGCTTGGTCAATGAAAGATCAATGTTTACATGACAGGTGTCGTCGATGAAGTAGAAGACGCTTACTCTTCCGGAACACCTGGTCTTTTTCTCCTTATACTTTTTCAGAAGTCTTGTATTTTTTTTATCGCATTGTTTACGGGTTTCGCAGTATGTATCATTAAAGCAACGCTTCTGATATCTGATGGTGAAAAGGGTCTGCAAATATTACTGCAATACATTGTTACAATTTTGTAATTGTATAATCTTAATCATTCTCAAATAAACATACTAAAATTCCGAGAGTCATGCACTACCACAAATGAAAATTGCTCATGGCTCTTGTAACACCTTTTGAGCTCTGCTTTAACTCTCAATTTAACTAACAACCTGAACAATCTGATTATGAACATTGATGTATTGACTCATAAACCACGTATATCATCTCTCAAATTAAAGTTCTGTTCAGTTCTTTGAAGATGAGGTCAGTCACTTTAGCCATAACCTTGGCTTATATTTGCCCAGTTGGACCCGGGCTTCTTTGTACTTAGCTAACTATCGGTCGTTTCTATATATACTCTGTTGATATATATATATGCTATTTACATGGAATATTGACGATTTCTTTGATAGATCAATAAGGTAAACAACAGTATTTAGTCCAGGGTGGTAACAGTGATAATGCATTCCCGGCTTTCACCTAGACGTCCTCCCACAGTAAGACCCCTCTAGCCCTTTCATCTGGGTCATCAAGACTTATTTATATAAGCTAAAATAACTTGTATAGCAATTGTTGTAAAATAAGTTCCACTTAATCTTTATTTAAAAAAATAAATCTATTTGTTCTATATAAGAAAAATTATAGCGTAAAGCAGGATGTGATGCCTCCAGTTGAAATTGAACTAAGAGGGAACAAATACTTAGTTCGTTGTTTTAGGTCTGCGTCTGCAGGATAACTTAAACTGCGACATTATTGGTTCAAAATTACTTGCATTGGTTTGCAATTTTTCTTTAGCTTTTGGAGAAGATGGGAAATTGAAAGCTAGTAATTGTTTGTGTCTTTGAGGAAGAACGTTACTGTAAAATCACACTTTTTGGTGGTCTCTATTTTCGTGCTAATTCTGAAAATTACTATTTCATGGACGCTTTATTAGATACAGTCCACTAACCCTACATTTAATCATTAGAACAAATTGTATTCGTGGATTAACAGGGCCCTCGAAATAAATGAAAATAGACCGCACACGAAAATAAATTACATTCGATGATAGCCAATTGGCAATATCTATGTTTCCGAATTACCACAGGGTAACATTGTTTTGTCGTTATATTTTTAAATTCTTTGTTTTATTCTTACACTTCAACATTATTAATTGAATTTTCAAAAGAGATTTTGACAGGAAAAACACAACGTGATATAGATTTTATAAAATCTGGTATTATAGAATTAAGTCAGTTATACAAAAATACATAACATGTAACTTTTCAAGGTATTTATATAACATTACTTGCATAAATTAAGAGTTGCATGGCGGATGTCGTCGATATTGCAAAAAGCACTTGTCCTTCTGGAGCGCCTGACATTATTCGCCTTGTACATTTTCATGGGTTCAAATATTTCCTTTTTCTTATTTTACTCGTGTTTTATCGGTTTGTTTGTTTGGGTTTTTTTTACTGAATTGTATCGTCATTTCGTTTCTGTAGCTGTGCATTTTGTTTTAATTATATAGCGCTTAGTTTGCCTACAAGCTACTGGATTGGACTACAGAAAGTCAATAATGAATGGAGTTGGGTGGATAGTTCCGGCTCCACACCACTCGTTGATCCACATAGAATTTCTGGATACAATCAATATGGTCCCTCATACTGCTATGCGATCGGTCAGTCAGCTTGGCAGCAACTAAATAGTGCGAATTGTTTCCCTTACATATGTGAGCACACGACGCCAGGTAAGATTAGACAACCTTAAAAATAATTTTACACTGAAAATTTGCCTGTAGTTTCTTTCCAAAAAAAATTGTGTTTTCTAAACATTAGTGTATTTTACGTTATTTTCCCAGTGACTTGTCCTTATTTGATACACAGTTTGTCGGTATTATCAGTGACATAATAATCATAAAGAACATCTTAAAGAACTAAACAACAGAAACTTAAGAGGATTGGAGTCAGTGTTGAAAAGTGCTGTGAAAATGTGGAAGAAATATTGAGAAATTTATATATGAAAAAGCGTGAAAAAAGTAGCAAAAATGGGGGACCTTGCAAAAGAAATTTCAGATTGAAAAAATGCAGATATCAAGATTTCCTTCTATGAAATATATTTGTATATATACGGATAATCATACGTTGTCCTATCACAAGTCATAGACTAGGGGAAGTAATCAAATAATAAACCATAGCAAACTGACATTTTCTTTACTGCACACTACATATCGTTCTCACTAGCAAAACATGGATAATAAACGATCTCCAACCTCGATCCACTTTACACCTTATCACATTCATGCATGAACATGGAAAGAGCCATGTACATTGACAAGTAGAACCTAATGCATTTATCTTTAAGACAAGGGGGGATAATCAAAGAAAAGTAATTATGGAGTCAATAATTTACTGTGGGAAGGATAAGAGTTATATGGATAAAAACATTATTATAATTTTTCAGATTTTAAAACATTTTTTTTCATTCATTTGGCTCCCTAAAATATCCTTATCACGACAGAGTATAATATTCACATTAGTATTTAGATATAATTGTAATTTCCGGGAGTTATTCATAGATACCAGTTGCTGACAGATACACACGGGAAAAACTGAACGACTTTAAATACTTTGATTATAGATAACTCTCACATCCTTTGCTCACATGTTTATATTGATTGTGCAATTGAATTTTTATTTCTCTTTAATCTGCCTTCTGAAGAAATATTCCATTGGTATAAAATTCATCACAATTTGTCAAACACTAAAGCTTGAGTAATTCTATGCACACTTGTTTCCTGATCCCGTCGGGTCATATTTTGTTGAAATGCTCATGTCTATTGATAATGATAAACTGATGTGAAAACCAAAAGTTCCTGTGTACGGAGTCATGTGCCTGTAAATCATAACGAAAACAATGAAGAGGTAGGGTATGCATGTTAACAAAGTAAGTTCTTTTCTCTCACACTTTCTGTAAGAGAAGTGTGCGGTAAGTCAGGAATGACTTGCTCTTACTACTGCTCAACTGTACGAAATTCATTAAAGCCACGCAATCACCTATATATTGTAATATTCATTAATTTTTGTTTTCCTTGGGTACTCGCATGCTTCCATCCACTCCAATAAGAGTGATAAATATAAGATGGCATAACCTGTTTCGCAACTATTGTAAAGTAAATAAGTTATATTTTATATCAGGATTTATCACATGTGTTATATGCTTATCTACTGATTCAGTGACATCCACTCAAACATCCATTGCAACAACAACAGTTCAGACATCTGTTGAAACCACGTCTACTGTGACCTCTACTGAACCAACAGCTACAACAACATCTGTAGACCGATCACCATGTACCCTCATGCGGAAAACTACAGCGACCATTACAAACGTGGCACTGTTAAGTGTTGCATCCAAGGGGAACCTTGCAAGCTGTGCCCGTGAATGCTTCTCTATAAATGATTGCATCGCCTCACATTTCGATTCCAGCACGACAACCTGTACTATGTATAAACCCGGAAGTTATTCAGTGGGGTGTGGCATCAGTGGAGTAGCAATATGTCACGAAAAGATGGGATGACTAACGGATTTTTCCCGATTGTCAAACAATGACCAGAAACAGATGATATAATTTGAAAAGAAATGTTTACATATAGAAAAAAAGTATTTCTACTTTAGATTATTAAAAAGAAAGATATTTAGATACACTTTTATTTTATATTTTGCATTATTTTAAAGAAAATTTCTGAACAAACACTGAAAAATTTTAATGCATTTTATTTCCAATAAACCAACAGTTAAGCGTTTAAGACGTAAATGCATCATTTTGGGTATTCTATGCCGTTCTGGAAATGTCATAGTTTTGACTTCCTTAGACATGTATTTCGTATTTCAAGTGTGATTAAAGTACGCTTTTCTACCTCTTTTTTTTTCGGCAAAAAATGCCACAAGAATGCCATTATTGTTCACAACAAAGCAGTTACTATAAAGCTCGAGAAGTAAGCAAACAGTCACAAACATTGATATTTTTAAATCATACCACGTTTTATTTATCATGTTCAATATTGATCCATTTTGAAGCTAGCAAAAGTATTTGACGTTTCACTTCTCGATAATCCAACTTTCGGCGTGCAACAACAACGTTCTGCAGAGGAGTGTATTTTTAATGCTGATATGACCGTTTTAAAGGCCTAATAATACGTCTGATACAGCTCTTTATATGACTCTATTGTATCTATTTCTAAATTTGTATTAAAAATTGCTTTTAAACTGTCTTTTGTAAAATTTGATATGTACAAGGAAATGTTCATATAATACTATATAATTCTTCTTGTTCACTCAAGGCTGGATTAATGATCACCTAAAGAAACAGTGTATGTTTCTATGCGGCTTATACACGTATATTGATCTATATTTGCAAGGAAATGGATACTCTAAAGTCCTTTGAAATTGAAAGCGGAACATACAAGTGGTGAACATTTTGCCCATGGTGTGTCGTAACCTGCCTGTCACGTTTTGATTCAATCGTTCCGAATATACATATTGACTTAAACTTCTGCTGAAGGTATTATATATTTAAAGAATTTTATTGATTGATGGGGCGATTGCACTTCCTTATCTAAATTCTGAAATGTCTTTAACGCAGTTACAACCTACGTTTCAGCCCAAGGCCCTACGCATTACTAGCGTATCCTGGAACGATAAAACAACGCTACGATGTAGTTTAATTCATTATTTGGCTGTGCTATATATAATTGTAATTTGTAACGATGACTTGACATTTCCGGTTCTTATAAAATCTAATCGCTTAATTTCCCGTTGAGTATGTCCACCGCGGTGTTATTTTCAATGGCGCATCGTTTTGTAAAATTGCTGTAATGTCTACTGTACATGTGTTTATATCTTACTGTACATATGTTTATATCTTACTGTACTTGTGTTTATATCTTAAACAACTGTTTTATATTTTTTTAAATAACAGTAAAATACCAGCAATATTAAGCAAACATTATCAGATATAACATTGACGTTTCTGAACGAATCAGCATTCAACCATTATTGAAATCTCGATTATTTACTTATGCAGATTTCTTCGACAGAGATTACATGAGAAATTGATTCTGCTCGGTTAGGTTTCGTTATTACGGTCATAGATAATGCTTGTGAGTGATTACATCAATATGACATCTATTCAGAGCTACATATGTTATATAATTTTATAGATCTTAGAGTGCTAAGCCTGGCCAAAGCTACGTGTCCTTACCACGATAAGTACCTACTCTTAAGCTTGCATTGTTGAAACCGATGTCGTGACTGCTTCACACGAATTGGCAAGTCGCGTGACTACATCAAAACTTCCGTGAACACTATCCTTTAATCTTTCATGTCAAGACATCTGTCCTTGTATGAGTGAAGCAGTGAAAGCATAAGCAAACACAAATAATCAAGAACAGTCACTGCTTTAAAGGATCGTTGATTAGTTGACTTTAAATTAGACTATTTTAGGATTCATTGTGAAGCCCTGATTGGTCGAAAAGGAGAGTATCAACTTCTGTGATAGTATCTAAGCATATATTGTATTGATGTTTGCAGATTTAAATCTGAATGCTTGAAAAAGCTAACTTAACATCTTTGATGTCTTTATCCAACATTCCAAGTACACGTATATAATATTTATACGGCTCAGTGTATCTATGTAAATGACTGCTTTAATACTGTTTTTTTATGCATATGGTATATAGTGTTATATTCTTTACATGGAATATAATGACATATCGTACGATGGCTGAAAGGTGCCTGACATAGAACTAACATAAGATTTCTAGGCCTATTAGAATGCTCTTCCGAAGGCCGTAAAACAGCGACAGAAAATCTGATTTTTGTAATTATTTTGTTACATTTTTATATCTCTATTGCTACATTCACACTTTTCTTAAATGCACCTGTCTATACAGGTAGCTGTTTGGTTCTTAGTATCATACATTTTATAATGATTTAACCTTATAAACCTTTTATACCTCATTATTATTGACATCATTAGATCAAATTTAATTACATGAAAGGGAAAAATAAACTAAGCACACAAAGACAGCATGCCATTCTTTTAGTAACAATGAATAATCACCTCTTTTCATGTGAGATTTATTTTAACGTAGTCTTGTATTTAGATAACATGAGATATATTGACAATGTTACCAGAACATGATCATGACCAGGATTTACATGAAAGAAATCAATGAAGAAGAAGAAGACGCTTACTCTCCTGGATCACCTTATGATAATCTCCTTTCGCATTTCCCCATGTAAATCTTACGTTTGCTCAGATTTTGCGCAAAGTTTTATCGAATTTGACTTTGAATAAAGATTCTGTTGATATAACGGTATATGTTGTTTTGTTTTATTTATTTTTCTTTGTTTTGTTTGTTTGTTTTTTTTCATTCAGTGAGAAGTCGAATTTGAAGTTTTCCACAATTCACAAATGAATTTCTTACATTACTGTATAAATAATAGTTGGTATTAAAACCAGTATTTTTAAATATGTATTACAACTGGTTGTTTAACTTTAAAATTAGATGATTATTGTTTTATACTTGAATTCAACATAATTTTCTTCAAATGTAGGAAAATGTATTAGCTTTTCATGGAAAAATGGTTTAAATAATAGATTTAAGTGAGCACCCTTGTGTTATTGTTACTAACGACAAATTCCTGTACGGATTATGCCACACTTTCTTTTTGGATGTAATTAGACGTGATATATTCCGTGCATGAAGTCAACTGACGGACAAAATCATAACACATGCTTCCAAAAGATGCAGATTGATGCAAATCATGGGGGAGTTTTATAGTTTATAGTGATCTCACTGAGGAATATTCTATTTCATTTTGCGATATGAAGCTGGATGTGTTTGATGCTCGTTAGTTAGCCTATTTTATACCATGTTCCCATTTGAGAACGTGACATTACTAACTTCGATTGACCAAGGTTACATGGCGGATGTCACTGAAGAAGCAGAAGACACTTACTCTTCTGTTTTTCTGTTCTGAAAGATATGGCGGGTATGAGTCTCCATAGTAGTTGGAGAAAATTTCATGTCTATATATTCGATGAATCCATATTTGCATAGTGCTGAGAACGCCAAAGCTTGCTTAGATACCTGACCAATCTTCGACAGATAAATTGTTCTTGAATAATCGAGCCATATTGCCAAGATACCTTTCGGCATTTGTTACTATACTTTGAGATAATCTGGACATTTAACGTTTCAGATTGCTAAAAAAAGTCCTATTAAAATCTGAGGACCTACTAAATGGATTATTGCGAACTGAAAACGGAGCTTACATCTGTTTCTTAAGCTCCAGATTTTTATAATCTTGTTTTCTGTATTGTATGCCTGCCATTCTAACCCTTCGTTGAAAACAAACTGAAAACAAGAATGATGTTTTCCATTTATGGAAAAGACCCAGTCGCCGTCTGGATCATAGTTGGTGAGTACTTTAACAGGTAACGAACTGTCATTTCTGTGTATTAATGTGATTGGCGTCATTAGGTGTTTGACATATGATGGAGATGTTAGCAAATATTGCTCTTTACCTTGACTTTCATTCAGATAATACTATACAGCATTACTGAACATTAGGCCAACGTCACACATCAATTTACCCTCACAACTGCATCAATTCATTAGGCCAACGTCACACATCAATTTACCCTCACAACTGCATCAATTCATTAGGCCAACGCCACACATCAATTTACCCTCACAACTGCATCAATTCATTAGGCCAACGTCACACATCAATTTACCCTCACAACTGCATCAATTCATTAGGCCAACGTCACACATCAATTTACCCTCACAACTGCATCAACTCATTAAGTCAATTCCTAGATTAATGATTTGGAAATTTTCCGACAGTTTTTTCATAATACGATATTACATGACTTACCTATATCAGTCATTTGATGGCGTGACGAGATTTTATAGAAATTCGGTGAACAAATTCTATTTATATGTCGGTGAATATTGAGATGTCCTTCAGGGCTTTGTTTACTAACATCGATTTAAAAAAACTACATAGAATGTTTAACATTTTTATTGTGTGTCCTTCCATCGCGGTTAGTTGTGTTTTAGGTATTGAGGAAACCTTCAGCATTTTAGTGTGTGTATGGAGAAGGAAGAGAGGACAAAAAAAAGATAGTTAAAGTGCGATTAAACTTGTTTTGTTTACTTTATTCAGAATGATATAAGACTAACGTTTTAATGCATTTAGCCCAGTGAAAAGTCCCGGAAGTCAAATGAGAGGGACGGCTGTGATAATCGATGACGGCAAGGATAAATCTGATATCGTTGTTGAAAAGAAACATCAGATATCTGCAAAGATGGTATAGAGTTAGTTCGAAGCTATTGATTTTGTCCTTACTTACCAATTACTTATTTTTTTCGTGTTTGATTTTCAGAGTCAAACAGATGAGCTCGTGTATATTTTTTATACAAAACGACATTCTCGTGGTTTTTTAACTTAATATATTCTTTTTCTTTTACCTGTGTCTATTTCATATATAAATAATCTTGACCT